GACCCTCCACCTTACCCAGCATGACATCCTTCTCCAGCGACTGTTCTCTCCGGCCAATGTGTCCAAAGTAGGAGAGATGAAGCTTAGCCATCTTGGCCTCCAAGGAACACTCTGGTTGTACTTCTTCCAAAACAGATCTGTTGGTTCTTTTGGCAGTCCATGGCACTTTCAGTATTCTCCTTCAACACCACAACTCAAAGGTATCAATTCTTCTACGATCTTCCTTATTCACTGTCCTAACCTCCTCAGCCTCAGTAAAACAGTGGGTCACTATGAGGAAGAAATAAGGAGTGTGCCTGAAACAATGAAGGACCCCAGCACATAGTGTTGTTGTTATGTGCCGTGGAGTTGGTTCCAACTCATAGTGAAGGACTGTAGAGTCCATTTCTAACATCTAACACCTGGTAACTATTAATCAATGTATAATCTTTAGCTCGCTTTTGATGTAGACTCTCCAAGGCTTAGCTCACGTACGTAGTAGCTTTGATGTAACTCAACATTGACATAAATTGTTGTAATGTAATCATGATTTACTGTAGACTCTAGCGCCTTGTGACAGCTAGAGGAATAGATAAATGTATTGCCTATGTTTATCTCGGTTCCTATAACCGACCCTCATCTTCCTTCTTGTCCTGGGAAGAATAAATTAAGTGAAATTATGGGGAGATCAAAGTACATCACAGAGAAGTTGTAAATACCAAACAAGAGATACCTCCGGGAGTTCACTGGCCACCTGGAAAGTATTTTTCCTTTAAAAACCTCTGGGGAAGGGGAGAGAGGGAGACAGACCCTTGTTGGTGCATAGGCGTAAGTGCATCTGCCTCTGTGGATCCGCTGAATAAAGGCTTGTCATTAAGGTCTCTGAGCCTCCGAGTGCATTTTCTTGAACTGCGGTCTAACAATAGAGACCCTGTACAGGTTTTCTTTATGGGAGCAGAAAGCCTCATCTTTCTCCTGCTGAACAGCTGGTAGTTTCAAACTGCTGACCTTGCGTTTTGCAGCCCGATTCGTAACCATGATGCTACCAGAGCTCCTTCAGCACAGAGTAGGGCTTACTAAACAATTACAGGCATCTTTGTGTCTGAAGACAGTTCACCCTGAAAATAGAAGAGAAATGTTCAGGTTTGCAGATCATATCTTCTATGATTTCAAATGGCAGGAAGCATTCCAACTACACCCAATGTCTTCCTTACTTAGGGGCACCTTCATAGAAATACTACAAATGGGTGGGTGGCTTTAAGGAGCAGAAATTTATTTTCTTACAGTTCTGGAGGCTAAAAGTCCAAATTAAGGTCTTGACCGCGTGGATTCCTTCATCTTTTATGTACTTTTTTTTTTTTTTTAATTTTATTGTGACCTGGATGAAGGTTTTCAGAGCAAATCAATTTTCCATTCAATCATTTCTACACATTTTGTTTCATGTTATTGTTTGCAATCCCCTTAAGGTAACAGTATTTATCCTATTTCCTCCCTCTTCCCCCCCAATTCCCACCCCATTTCCATTTCTCCTTCTTTCCTAATCATTAAAAACTTTGTTCTTGGGTACTTGCTGTCCTTTTGATCTCAAAGGTTGATTATTCTAAGGTATGGGTACCTCCCTAGTGTTATTGTTCCCCTTATAGGCCTATTGTTTGGCTGAAAATTGAGCCATGGGGAGAATTCAGTTCCAGATCTGAAGGGTGGCTAAGGGCCAAGGTCTCAGGGTGTGTAGATTCCTTTTGTGGGCCTCTCATTTCTGTTATCTGCTAGCGATCTTTACTTTGGCCCAAAACTGCAACTAACCCTCCCAAATACTCTTAACACTTAACAGCTCAACCAAGATTTTCTTGCCTAACATGAAGCATTCTAAACACTGTTTACATAGTTACTTGACACTTAAACTAATGAGGAGGTTGTTTGTGAGCTGAATGGAAGCAGCCTATATGAGATTAGAAATTAACGAGATTTTCCTTTTACACACTCTCCTGAAACCTTTTATCCTGTCTAGCTTTTCTTTGAATTCATAGGATTTTCCAGACCTCTCAGACTGGCCAGCTTCCCTCAGACCCATATGGACAGGGCGATGATGTCCATAGTGCCCAGCATGTTTGAGGACCTTCCCGTGTTGCTTCCCAAACCCATGCCTGACTTGCCTGCAACCTTATTTTGTTCACTGGCATACTTATAGTGTTTGTTTATTCAGATAGCCAATTTTGCACAATGAGGGTATAAAAATGGCATGGTAGCAGCATCAGCTGCCCTCCTCTGGCTTCCCAAGGGGGTTGGAGAATCATTTTCAGCATTTACAGTCTAAGACTGATTCCTATGAGGTATAGGTCAAACATACCTGCTCTCTTCAACCTTTTTACCAATTCTGATACCTCCTCCTTCCAATGACACTCCACTTCTCTGCTGCTTCCAATATGTAATTGGTGGACACGCAGAATTTACAGATTATAATCACAGTTAGGGGGTTTATTAGGGAAATAACAGGTTACAGTTCAGATTCAGGAATGCTCAGCATACAGTTCTTCGATCTGATGTTGTTATGAGGTGCCGTCAAGTTAGTTCTGACTCGTAACAGAATGAAACACTGCCCAGTTCTGTGCCATCCTCACAAATTGCTGTTATGTTTGAACCTATTGATGCTGCTACTGTGCCAATCCATCTCGTTGGGAATCTTCTTTTTTATTTCACTGACCCTCCACTTTACAAAACATGATGTCTTTCTCTAGGGACTGGTCCCTCCTGAAAACATGTCTGAAGTATGAGACAAACTCTCACCATCCTGGCTTCTAAGAAACATGCAGGCTATTATTTCTTCCAACATAGATCTGTTTGTTCTTCTGGAAGGCCATAGTACTTTTAATATTTTTCTCCAACATCATAACTCAAATGCATCAATTCTTCCTTATTCATTTCCAACTTTCACATGTATATGAGGTTATTGAAAATATCATGGTTTGGGTCAGGCACACCTTTGTCCTCAAATTGACATCTTTGCTCTTGAACAATTTAAAGAGGTCTTGTGTAGCAAATTTGCCTAATTATTTGATTGCTTGGCTGCTGCTTCCTTGAGTGCTGATGGTTGATCTGAACAAAATGAAGTCTTTGACAACTTCAATCTTTTCTCCATTTATCATGATGTTATTGCTTCAGTTGTAAGGATTTTTGTTTTCTTTGAGGTACAACCCATATTAAAGGCTGTAATCTTTGGTCTTTATTAGTATTTTAAATTCTCTTAGTTTCCAGCAAGCAAGGCTGTATCAACTGCATATTGCAGGTTGTTAATGAAGTTCCCTCCAATCCTGATGCCACGTTCTTATTCATAATCCA